ACTCTCTAAAGATGACATGTGAATAGCCAAAAGGCATATGAAAAAGTGCTCAGCATCCTTCATTGTAAGAGAAGTGCACATCAAAACAACAATGAGATACCACCTAACCCCAGTCAGAATGACTAAGATTAAAAAAACAAAAAATGATAAATGTTGGTGGGGGTGTGGTGAAAGGGGAACTCTCTTACACTGCTGGTGGGAATGTAAATTGGTCTAGCCATTGTGGAGAACAATTTGGAGATTCCTCAAAATTCTACAAATAGAACTACCATATGATCCAGCAATCCCACTCCTTGGTATCTAGTACCATACTTTTTAAATAACTGTATGTTTATAATATATTTTGAAATCAGAACATGTAATGCCTCTGGTTTTGTTTTTTCCTTAAGGCTCCCTTGGTTGTTTAGGTCTTTTGAGGTTCCACATGAATTTCTGTATTTTATATTTCTGTAAAATGCCGTCAGGATTTTGATAGAGAGTGTATTGAATCTGTAAGACCATTTTGGGTAGTATGGATTTTTTTTCACTGTTATAATAACTTTAATGTATCTTGCATTTTACACAAGTCTATGAACGATTTTAAAAAAGCATCTCCTTACCCCATATCACTGTTTCTCTGACAGTTGTTAAAGTATGCAATGAGTATGTCAACAGCTTGAGCATTGGCATCTTGCAAGGATTTCGACCAACCAACCACTTGCCGAAGTGCCAAAGTACTTGGGAGCTTTTCTATCTTGTTTTTAACACAATAGTATATCCATTCTGATGGTAAACCTGTCCAGCCAAATCTCCACAAGACACTGCAAAATAAGTGGTGATTAGCAAATTAGTTAGCTTTGGCACAGAGCTGTGCTCACTTGCCTGTGACAGCTTGGAAGTCAGTTTTGATACTGGCGACAGAGCATCGAGAATGACAAGTTTCGCACTGTAAGAAATAGAGTCGAGTATCCTTCTGCAGGATTGTGTCCGGTGATCGGCATGTGTGACAAGTGACATATTCCTTGATATATCTTCTCAAGACATTTTCTATCTGTTTCTGTTGGAATTTTCCCTTGATTACTAGTTGGTTATTACCATCTATAGAACCACTTGTACCCAATTCAGCCAATAAAAACGTAAGAAGATGTTTGGGTTGATGATGTAAAAGTTTACAGGTATCTGCAAAGTTGACAAAAGAAGTTTTCTTAGTTCCTACTCGGACAACTTGTGGAGGTTTCATGACAAATTTCCTTTTCTCTCCAGCAACCATATCCGGATTCTTTTCCCTCATGATGTTAAACACTCGATTCAGTAGCTCTTCTAGTCTCTTTCTGAGTCGGCCCAAGCAGGACCTGTTAGGTTACTAAATGAGATACCATCATCTTTTTTGCTGTCTTCATCTTCTAAAGCTTCGTCTTTCTCTAGTATTTCATCCTCATCTGGGAACTTAACATTCTTCTTTTTCTTTTTATTGCCAAGCATAATGTCAAGGTCATCCTCTGGTTCTGTTGGTTCTTGAACATCACTGTCAATCTTAAGATGCTTTACACCTTCTTCAGCTTCATCAATATCAAATATCTTTTTCATTTTTTTTCTTCTTTTTCTTTTGATTAAAGAAGTTCAAGTCATCTAAATCATCAGAAGCATCTTTTTTCCTACTGTCCTCTTCATCAGCTTCCACATCTTTGTTCTCAGTTGGCTCTGGTTCCACTTCCTTTGTTTCTGAGGGCTGAGTTTCTTCTGTCTGGGCATCCCCCTCCTCATCTAATATGAAAGGCTTCTTCTTCTTTTTCTTCTTGCTCATGGTAGGGTCAAAAATCATCTCGTCCCCGGACAAGGCTGCGACTTGAGTGGGCTCGGCACCGATGGGAATTCACATGAGTCAGTCTCAGGCCCCAGCGGCAGCGCAGATCCAGCTGATTGGTAGTATGGGTATTTTAAGAGTATTTAGTCTTCCAATCCATGAACATGGGATGTTCTCCCATTCATCTGTGTTGATTTGTTTGTGTGTTTGTTTTCTTGAGAGTTTTTTGCTTTGGGGTGTGTGTGTTCACCAGAGATAGACAAAAAGTGAGAAATCACCCCCTGGGCAGATGGCAATGCTACAATCCCTTCTCCACTCTACTCTCAGAATTTTGGGAACATGCAACTGTCATAAGTTTCAAGCCACCAGGTCTGGGACTTGAACTGTAGTTGGCCACATAGAAGTCCAGTGCCTCAACCACCATGCCATCCACTGGCCAACATATGAATCCTCTTTAATTTCTTTCATTTGTGCAAGTCTTTCAACTCCTTAGTTAAGTTTCTCCTTAGATAATTTATTCTCTTTGATGCTAAGGAAAATAATATTGTATTTTTAATTTTTTTCCAAACTAATGGAAATCAGTATCTGAAAGAGGTATCTTTACTCTCAAGTTCATTGTAGCTCTCTATATAGTAACCAAGGTGAGGAAACAAACAAATGTCCATGGAGTATGAATGGATAATGAAAATGTAGTGTGTGTGTGTGTGTGTGTGTGTGTGTGTGTGTGTATTATTTAGCCTTAAAGGAAAAAGAAAGAAATTCTGTAATGTAGGACAACATGAATGAACCTTAAGGACATTGTACTAAATTAAATAACTCAGTCACAGAAGGACAAATACTACATGATTCCATTTATATGAAATATACATAATTGTCAAATTTGTAGAATCAAAGTAGAACAGGGGATGTGGGAAGGGAAAAATGATGTGTTATTAATTAATAAGTATAAAATCACAGTCAAGCAGAATTAATAAATTCTCATGATCCACTGTATAACATTGTATCTACTGTTAATGTTATTATATGGTAAACTTAAAATTTTAAGAGGATAGACTTCATAAATGTTTTCACTCAATAAAATAAAATTTAAATAAATACATAAAAATATGAAATGTATGCCATGACACTTTGAGAATAATGACCAAAATCTACTCAACATGTTCTGATTAAGGCCTGCCACTTTCTGTGGTTAGTGTCTATATGTCTTGCCTTTTGATCCCATAAATATTAATGGTCATTCTTCTTATTTTGTTAAATGGCACCACTAATGATGCCTGAATACTTGTAACAAAGTCACAGTTAAATCCCTAGGGTGAAGAAAACACCAGGCTCAATGACTGCATTTCACTGGAAAGTACAGGCCAACAATAGCTGCAGAGATGGCAGCAAAGTCTGCTGATCTCGGATGTTAGCTCTTCTAAATTGGTGAAGTGGCCTCAGCTACTGGCACAACTTAATTTAATCTAAACTTATAATACCTATAAGTTGTTTTAACTCTAATATAGGAAAAGAACTCCAACTAAGCATACTCTTACTTTACATTTACATATAGTTTACAAAATGACTTCACACATATTTCTAAGTCAATGCACATCTTCATTCATTCAAGATAAAGTCTAGCCTCACTTAGCACTTACTGGACTGTGAGGTAACTTTTTCTTAATTCTTGGTCCTTGTAGGACCTTATTCCCAGTAACTTTTCTTTCTTGACATTCTGCATAATGGAAGGAGTGTTACAACAGAGCCTGGTTGCAGAGTCCCCTATAAGGTAGGTGTCCTTACCAAATCCCACAGTTGATAATTTAGGACTTCAACCTGGATTCCATCTCCAAAGAATTTGTTAAAATAAGAATTCTTAAATGTAGACATTAAAATCTACATAATGTGTACATGCATCCTGTACGCTGTACTACTTTTATGAAATAGTTGTCCAATGGAACTAAATACTACTGTGATGCTATAGAGAGGTGCTGTTTTCATAAATTTTAACCAAGAAATAACAAATATATTTATGTAATCAGTGATATATATTTATAATATTTGTCAGTAATTTATAATATAACTTAGTAATTATATATTTATGTTAAACAAATTTATATTAATATATATTAAACATGGTAACACACATTTCAAGCTATTAGGTCATCAGGAAAGTAATGATGTTTTTTTCTTTCTTCCTATGCTAAAATGCATCATGACTTTCTTGACGATCCAATATATTTTTATTTCATTGGTGTTAAATGTATTTACGCATGTGGAAACATACATACTTATTTATTATGTCAAAAATAAATAATGTGTCTACTGCTAAAACTACAGCAAAATAGAAATAATTACATGGAAAGTGAAGAATACTAATCAATGGAAGGCATTCCAGATGGGATAATTACAACCGTTGTTCTTAGAGAGAACTGGTGCATATATTACACTTTCAGATATATGTAAGGAACAGGCTGATGTACCTGTACTACTGTCTGTAGTCTTTTTATCTCGCTGTAGCTATCCTGCAGAATTAAGGGATTCTACAAGGAAACTTCAAATAGTTCATGGGAAATGGAATTAAAGTATGAGCGTGTGTGTGTGTAAAAATTCAAAATCTACTCAGATTTTTCATAGTATGCATTTTCCATGAAGTTTTTGAAGACCCCTCATCTTATTGGGGGATATAAAATTACACATCTATCTTTAAAACATAAGAATGTTTTTAAAAAATTCATTTAGATAGTTGGTACTTTTCTGAAATCTGTTCTTTAATGCTGATGTGTGCATTCAAGATGTGTGATGAGTTTATGTCAGAATGTAGTTTGTAAAATATTGGAGACGGTATCTAAAAGATAAATACTTATTAATTAATGAGATTAGTAAAACAGATGATATATATACTTTTACAATTGATGAATTAAATAATTTTCAAGTAATCTTGAATTAATCCACCACAAACTCAAGATTATTATATATTCTCACTCTGCAGAGATAATGGCTAATGAAAAAATTATTAAAAAAAAACAAATAAAACCAACACAATATAGTTGACAGTGAGACTAAAAGGTAAAAAAAAAAGTTACGTATACAGTTTGCTACTTAAAATTTTGATCCAGACAGGAAAAGAATAAACATTAATTACATTAAAGGAAACTTCTATTAATACAATATAAATGAAGTGATATAGCAAAGAAAATAAGGACATGCTTACCAAGAAAAAAATATATATACTTACTGGAGAAAACCACATCACTTTAAGAATCCAAATTGTGAGAGCAAAATTCACTACGAGAATGATGAGTAAAAGAAGAACAAATAAGTAGAGGCAACGCTTTCTCCAGCCATAAATGCCAATTTTGTAGATAGACTGGTTCTCTGGTCTCTCTATGTGGGTGCCTTCTGTGGTTGTGGTGTACTGTTCACGTACCATCTGCCATTGGGGGTGATGTGGAGGGAAGAGAGAATGAGTTGGAGAGAGAGAGAGACAAAAGGAATGAGAGGGGGCAGAGAGAGAGACAGAAACTTGTTTGTCAATACTGATTTACTGGAAGCCTAAAGATAAAATTTTTTTTACCATGGTAATATGAAAGAAGTCTAAAAAAGTTTGTGGAAAGTGAATATTATGAAAAAATTATGCATGGATTTCATTTTTTACACCAAATAAACTTGTGCTTTAATTCTGTTTTCCATTAATTTTATGAGGTCCGCTGCTAAATTTTCAAAATTAATGATTTTAAAAAGAAAACGAGGTACTGCTTTAAAACATGTCACTATGTTTCAACAGAGATACTTAATCAGTCACATCATTTTAGTTTGGACAAATTCATCTGAAATCCAGTGACCAGGAAATTATACATGTACATAACAAGTAACACAAAATGCAAAGTTCTGCAGAATTAAATTTGAAATTGTAGCATCAACCTAAAATAATCAGGTTATCAAGTTCTTAAAAGATTCAATGAGAAGGAAATCAAGCTGAGAACTATACATCTTTGCCAAAAAATAATTCAATTACTAAATTTTGTAAAATTTTTCAACTACTGAGTTACTCAGAATTAAAAAGGCTCTTTGCAAGATACTTACCACACTAAACTTTGCCTAACATAAAGTACTCAACTACTGACCTACTTTAAGAAATACCAGGATACATATATATGTGTGTGTGTGTGTGTGTGTGTGTGTGTATATATATATATATATTAGATATGTATTCATTGATATTGTTTTGTGCCAATTAGAATAAGAGTTTTAGCAACAATTTAAACTCTATGAAGAAATTTTTAAAATTACTCATTTCCCTCTTTACACAAAGAACATAGTGTTTATTAACCCATAAAGTGAAAATTAGTGATTATAAGACTATTCTGATTGTGAATGTAGTACAGTGATAAATCATGATATAAAAAATATTTTCCTCCAGAATTTTGTGTTTGCTTTTGTGTTTGTTTTTGTTTTTGTCGATAAACCAACCCTTCTCTCCACTTGGTGGTTCCTGCTTATATTTCATAGCAATTCCACTGTCATCTCCTCAAAGACTTCTTTGGACACTCACTCACTCTGAATTATATCACTCTATTATATTTATTTGAACCTGCTCATCAATAGCTGAAATAAAGGTGGTGTTTCAGAATTTCTGCAAAGAACAGTCTCAGACGGTGCAACTGAAATGGGAAAGGTGGTCAGAGAATCTGAACTTAAAGCACACTATGAGATGGTACTGTTACTGTGAAACGAACCATGTTGGCTGAGAACGTGTGTGTATATATTCCTATTCCTACATCTTCCATCTATCTATCTATCTACCTACCTACCTAATATATAGGTTGTTGGGAAAGTCATGACTTTTCCATAGACTCACTACTTCCCTATTCTTGGTATTAAGAAATTATCACAAAATTAGTACTTTAACATAACACTCTTGTATGTTACAGTTTGGGAAGTTCAAAGTTAAAAAAAAAAAAAGGTCTTACTGGGTTAAAAATAGGTGTGGGCAGGGCTGCATGCTTCTGCAGCATCTAAGACAGAATCTAAGGTTCCATCTTATTTCCCAGCTTCCAGAGGATGCCTGCATTCCTTGGCTCTAGCCTTCACTTCCAAGATTATATCTCCTTTTCTGACTTCCATCCTCCTGGCTGCCCTGTATAGGGACTTCCATGATCATATTGAGCCCACTTGGGTAGACCAGGAGGCTCTCTCCATTTCCAGAACCTTAACTCAATCACATCTGAGAATTCTCTTTCCCATGTAAGATATCCTATTCACACGTTATGGGAGTCAGGGCATGGACAGCTTTGATGCCAGTATTCTGTCTACCACGAATGATTTTGTTTGCACTGACACGAAAGTGAAAAAGTTTTTATGTCCATTAAAAACAATCTTGTCATGGTTTGCAGGATTGACGGCAACTGTGTTATGAGGATATTCCTCACGTCTCCCTAAATCAGTGCTGGGCACCTGCTCTATTTGTTGATTGTTCACTTCTTTATTGTTGCCTTCTCTTTAGGTTGTCAACTTCAAGTGAGTCTTTTCTGTCTTAATAGTTATGTTACTAAATAGTTAAGCTGACATATAATAGGTAAATGGGCATGTAATAAAACTTTGAATGAAGGAAGGAAAGATGAAATTTTAATTTGTTAAATATTGAGACTCCTTCCAAAGATGATGGTACAACAGAGAAAATATCTATGAGTTATGAATATGCTTGGTCCATTAAGAAAAGATTTAGTACTTGTGGTCATTCTCTTAAATAATGATTGTGAATGAGCAGCTTTTTCCAAACGGGATGCCGACAACAGGAAATATATAAAACATGGTGTCTCTGTTGAAGTACTTTCATAAATGATACATTGGGGAGAAAACTGATAATACATAAATGTGATATTTCCAGAGTTTTGGTACAGAAAGAATACTAAGGATAACATACATAAGGAGTCTTCAAAAAGTTAATAGAAAATGCATATTATAAAAATACATACATTTCAATTTTTTTTTTTTTTTTGGAGAGGTTTTTTGCTATAGGGCGTGTGCGCTCGCCAGACAGACAGAGAGAGACATAGAGACAGAAAGCCAGAAATCACCCCCCAGGGGGGGATGGTCACGCCACAATCCCTTCTCCTCCATTCTCCTCTCGGGATCTTGGGCATGCACGCACATGCGCCCGGTGTGAGTTTTAAGCCACCAGGTCTGGGACACGAACCGTGGTCGACTACGTGGGAGTCCAGCGACATAGCCATTATGCTAACTGTTGGTTCTCGACATTTCAAATTTTTTGCACCAAAATAAACTTGCATTTAAATTCCACTTTTTCCACAAACGTATGGAAGTTACCTTGTATATGCCCTTGCTTCACCGACAGCTGACCTGGGGCTGGACCTGACTGCCTTGACAGGAGCTACTCTCTCCATGCTGATTTTTAGAAGCTCAGGACTCGTGACCTGCTTTCTTGGTCTCCCATTCTCTGTGCTCTATTTACCAAAACCATTTCTATTCGACTGCAAACCTGTGTGATTATTTTTTTCATTCTGTCAGTTGTACATTTTATAATATTATTTTGAGAGATTTTTGCTATATGGCATGTGAACTCACCAGAGAGACAGAAAGCAAGAAAACCCTCCAGGGAAGATGGCCACATTGCAACCCCTTCTCCTTCATTCTCCTCTTAAGATTTTGGGCATGCATGCACATGTGCTGAGCACGAGTTTCAAATCCCAGGACTCAAATCTCAGTTGACCATGTGAGAGTCCAGCACATTAACCACTCTGCCACCTGCTGGCCCTATCAAATCATATTTTAAGATTGTCTACTTTATTTTATTGTTAATTTTCCACCTTCAATGTAAACTGTGTTGCCTAAGAAGAACTTTATTCTAGATAAGCATGAGTTAAATCACTAGGCAGATTACTCTAAAATTTTTCTAAAAAGTTGATTTAGTTATTTAATAAAATATTAGTTTGTATTTCTCACAACTCACAAGTGGCTTTCATTTTTATTAGGAGCTATATTAGGATAGGTAGTCTTCCTTCTCACTTTTTCTCTCTATCTCTGTCTCTCTCTCTCTGGCAAGTACATGTTGCCTATGGCACAAACTTAAAATGACAACACCGCCACCACCAGAGTGATAAAGATATGGGAAATGTGAAGACAGTTTTAAAGGACATGACAAACAAGGAAAAGGTATAAACTTGTCTTACTGAAGCCCGGTGGGAATAACTAGAGGAAATATCGGGGAGAAATGACTAAAAGGGCCATTGCCAGGAATTTTCCATGACTGAAGATTGAAAACAGATGTCAACTCCTGAGCAGGATAGATTAATTTAAATGTATCAACTAAAATAATTCTGAATCCAGAGAAAGCCAGAAGAAAAATTAAACACAAAACAAAACTTTTAAAATAGAAAAAAAACCTTGTAATACCAACAGAAAGCTTTATAGATGTTTGTCCAATGAGTGACTGAACTGTTGAAAGAACCTGGTAGTGGAGCGAGGGAGGCCCATCAGACTGGGGAGTCCAGCGCACACACTGCTCCAGGGACAGACTCTCGTCGCCTGGGGCTCCCGGGTCTTGGGCTTCCCCTGCAGCATGGCCTCCTCGCCCTCCGCCTCCCAAACTGTGCTGGCCACCAACAGTGCGGCCGGGGCACCGAGCTCGGGGCCTCAGGATCTTCTACGCCTGCCGTCCAGGCGCTCACGACAGGCGACTGTAGGTGACCATATCTGCAGGGGATTTTGCTATCCACCCTCTTGGACCTGGGGAGTTAGAACCTGCAGCTCCCCTTCCTCCTCCAGCTCCACCCTTTCAGTTACCCTGCAAGGAAGCATTTTGGGGTTCTCATTGGCTTCCAGGAAGGACGCAAGCTCCTCTCTGACCCCAGTTGTCTTCACCGCAGTGACTCTTCTCCTATGACCCTGTGGTGCCTGGACCCCTCTGGGATGGCGCTGAAGGGACACAGAGCCAGTGGCAGCCAGGGGCCTGGCAGAGGAGCCGTCCTTACCCAGTGGTAGCCCGGCTGGCAAAGGTTCTGCCAGAGCTCAAACAGGATGGTAGAGGGGAGAAATGACTGTTAATGAAGCCAAAGAGACATTACAGGAGGCACCTGAAGGAACTTCTTGGAGCTAGCTGCATTCAGACTACCTACTAACAGTATCTGCTAAAACATCAGCTAGACCAACAAATCTGCAAATCGAGAATCAAGATGGAAAATTTAGACTGGATTTTATCATCTATGTCCAGTCCAAGCTTCAACACTTTGACAGTGTGGCTCATCTGATCGACCACTGAGTGCAGATGTGCAAGGATAAGTGGATAGGCCCAGAAGCCCCTGGAATGGCACTGCCCACCTTTACCTGACCAAACCATAAACAGCACCACCTCTGCAGCATCTCTGCAGACTCACCATTAACATATGCGCCTGCACCATTGGGAAGTTACCA